CGTTGATCCGAGGTAGCGCACCAAGCGCTTTGCCACCTCCAACTGCTCCTCAGTGGGCCGCTGCACAACTCTGGCCAGCTGCCCCACTCCGAATGAAGCATCAGGTCGCGTATGCACAGCAGCATACATCACACTCCCAATGAGTGACTGGTACTCGTTCTGCTGCTCATCCTCGAGTACATCATCCTCCTCAGCTGCCTTCTTCAACTTGAAGCCCGCAGGGAACGGTGTCATCACAGTGCGACCTCCAGTCACACCATACCGCTCCATGACACCAGAGATGTAGTGTGACTGATGCACCTTCAGCCACCTCCTCTCAACATCCCTCTCAATCTGCAGCCCCAAGTAGTAGTGGACATCCCCCAGCATCTTGCACTTGAAGTTGTCCATCAGCAGCTTCTGTGTCCTCTCAATCTGCTCCATGGAAGGTGAGAACAGCAGTATGTCATCGACATACACCAGCAGCAAGAGCAACTGCTCCCCCTCTCCAAGCAGAAACAAGCTGTGATCCGCCTGGGATGTCTTGAAGCCTCCACCCAGCAGCACCTCCTCCAGCTTCTCGTACCAGCACCTGGGCGCTTGCTTAAGGCCATAGATAGCCTTCTTAAGCTTGCACACCCGGCTGGTCCCATCCTCATAGCCGTCGGGCTGCGCCATGTAGATATCCTCCAGCAGCACTCCATTGAGGAACGCAGTGGTGATATCCATCTGCTTCACGTGCCATCCCTTCACAGCTGCGCCAGCCAGCAAAGTCCTCAATGTCACTGGCTTAGCAACGGGAGCGAAGATCTCCCCAAAGTCGACCTTCTCCTTTTTTGCTGAAACCCCTTGGCGACCAAACGGCTCTTGAAACGCTCCAACGCACCATCAGCACCACTCTTCACCTTGAAGACCCACTTGCTGCTGATCGGCCGTCGCCCCTCGGGTAACTCAACAAGCTCCCAAGTCCCATTCTCAATGAGACTGTTGAACTCCGCATCCATGGCAGCCTTCTACTCATCCTTCTGGGGTCCACTAAGTGCCTCCTCCACTGTGGCTGGTTCTCCAGGCAAGGGTGTGAAGAAACAGAAGGCCATCTCCTCATCCTCTCCCTCATCCGCCTGAACCGCCATGGCACCTTGCTTTGGTCCTCCCAAACGGCTATACTTCAGCCTTGAAGGTGCTGCTGCCACTCTCTTCTCGCGGGTTGCAGTCTGCTGCCCATGTGGTGAAGCTCCTCTCTGCACACTCCTTTTGGTGACCTTGGCGTTTGCAGCAGGTTCGGGCTGAGATGGTGAGTCCACACGTGCCGACTCATCCTCCAACCCCTCCTCTCCAGCAGGACCAGCACCTTGCTGCTCACCACCGCCACTGTGGTCACTGGTCAGCTCTGACCCAGGGAGATCCTCAAGGTGCAGCTGAACCTCCTCCACTGCAGACCGCTCAATCTCCTGCAGACGCAAGCCAATCTGCACCTGCTGCTGCTGCTGCCAGTCCTTGTACATGACGTCCTCCACAAACTTGACGTCACGGCTGACCAGCGTCCTCTTGCCTTTGGGGTCCCACATCAGCCACCCCTTCGAGTCAGGAGCCATCCCAAGATGGACAGCCCACACAGCAGCAACTTCCAGCTTGTGCCTCTGCTCCTTAGGCACCATCACAAGCCCCATGCAGCCCCACACCCGCAGCAATGCGGGATGGCTTCTTCCCAAGCCAACGCTCGTACGGCACCCAATGCTTGTCGCCAACATGCGTCAAGACCCTGTTCTTGACCGTGATGACATGGCGAACAGCTTCAGGCCAGAACTTGTAGGGCATCCCTGCAGCCCCCAACAAGGTCTTAGCCGCCTCGCCAATGGTCCGGTTGGCACGCTTTGCAATGCCGTTCTGCTGCGGTGTTCCTGGGCAGGTCAGCTGGTGTCGGATGCCATTCCTCTTGAGGAACTTGGTGAATTCCGCTCCAAGGAACTCTCCACCACGGTCGCTCCTCAGCACCTTCACCAGCCGCATCGCTTGCACCATCGGCAACCAATCCTCCTTGATCGCCGCTGCAGCATCGCTCTTCTTGGACAAGGGATGCGCCCACGTGAAACGGCTCCATTCGTCCACCATGGTGAGGAAGTATAGCATTCCCCCAGTCCCCTCAGTCCTCATAGGACCCACCAGGTCCATGTGCACCACCTCCAATGGTGCCTTGGCTGATCCCTCCGCACGTGGAAACGGGAACCGCGCAAACTTGTTTTGCATGCACGCCTCGCAGCTGCCATAGTGAGCGCCATCTCCTTGCAGTTGCAGCCCATGCACGCACTTCTCCTTGTGCATCACCTCCAATGTAGAAACAGCCACGTGTGCGAGCCGCCGATGCCAAGTCTCCCAATCCGCTTGGCCCGAGGTAGCCGACGCCTTCACCGCCGCACTTCCTCCAATCAGCTCCTCTCCTTGCACACCTTGCTGCTCCTCCTCAGTGACACTCTCCTCCATAGGTGCCGCCACTGCCGCCTTGCCCGATTTCCGCCAAGGGAGGACCGGGATCTGCCACATGCGCTTGTGGACATCTCCCTTCCGCTGCAGGTCCCAAATCAGCCGCTCATCGTTGTAGGCACGATAGCGCTCCGAGCCAATCGTCTCGGTGTTCACACCCGCATCTCCCAACCGGCCGGTAGAAATCAGGTTCGCGCACAAGTCCGGCACCCACAGCACGTTCTTCAGCCCCACGAGCTCTCCATCCGCTCCCATGAACTTGGCGCATCCCATGCCCATGACCTTGGCCTTGGCGCCCGTCGCGGATGTGACTGTAGAGATGGGTGCGGGCTGAATCTCATCGAGTAGGTCCGCACGAGGAGTCATGTGCCAGGAGCTTCCCGAGTCAATCACCCAATGGGTGAGAGGGTGTAGGAGAACCTTGGCAGCCATAGCGAGGTCGGTTGCACCTTCGTTCACGAAGAAGAAGAACCCGGCCTTCCGCTCCTCAGATTTGCCGCCTTTCTCCTCATCCTTCTCCTCTCCACTAGCTCCCATAACTCCCCCACTCCTCGTGCCACCACGCTGGTTGCTTGATGAAGGCGGGGTCCAATCCTTAGGTCGTTGGTAGCACTTCCTCCAACGATGTCCGCGCTTCTTGCAGTAGAAGCACACCTCCCCTTGACCCCCGCCGCCATCCTCCTTAGGGTTATCATTGTTCTTGCCCTTCCACTTCTTCTTGAAGCCACTCTTTCCACCTCCAACTCCATAGCCAGCCCCCTCCTCCGAGCGCTCCACACTCCGCCGCCGCAAGTCCTCCTCTAGGATGCGCGCGCGAATGTAATCCACGCTCCACTGGGGCTGTTGAGAGTTGAGGTTGATCGCAAGGGCAGACCACGACTCCGGCAGCCGTATCACGATCTCCACGCATTGCACGAGCTCCGGGTA